AAAAAAAAAAATCAGCATTCCCTAGAAATCTGTTCTGGGAGACAGGGACTTAGGCAGCAGAGGGGACAAGTCAGGAGTTGACATATTCAAATAACTGGCCTAATTTCATCTCTGTGACTGTAAGGTCATTCAGACATAGGATGATTTTCTTTTCTTTTTGGTCATGGGGCCTGAACTCTGGTTCTAGGCACTGTCCCTGAGCTCTTCAGCTCAAGGCTAGTCTCCACCACTTGAGCCACAGCGCCACTTCCAGCTTTTTCTGCTTATGTGGTGCTGAAGAATAGAACCCAGGGCCTCATGCATGCAAGGCAAGCACTCTACCACTGAGCCATCTTCCCAGCCCCATAGGATCATTTTCTTCAGCCTATAATATTCAAGGATAAGAGCAATTTTTCACAGCTTAAAACAAAAATCACATAAAAGGCCAAATAATATTTGTACCTGGTAGAAATATTATCTACAAAATTAAGATGAAACAACAGGGAAGGAGGTAGAGTGATACTTTTAACCAAAGAAAACAGACAAAAAATAAAGGTAGAGAAGAAAATAATGCCTATGGGGTGGTCATTATTTAGACAGTATACTATATATACATATATATGTATACATACATATATACACTATATAAGAAGCTATGGGCTCTATTCACTTTATTAGTCTTGTATTAAAAGGTCTTCCCCAAACTGTATTCAGAGGAGAGGAAATTAAGAACTTTAAAATTAAGTAACTTTAAAACCAGTCAGGCTCAGTGAGACCATTCACCACTTTTAAAACAGGTGGATGACCTATCTTGCAGAAACCTTTCAAAGCAGGAATATTTAAGTCACAGAGAAAAGGGGGAGTATAAAGGAGATGGAGGCAGATGAACTGTGGTGCTGGAAATAATAAAAGTGAAGGATGGCATTCATAAACCAAGAGAAAGCTGGGTGCAGAGGGCTCATGCCTGTAATCCTAGTTAACTCAGGAAGCTGAGATCTGAGGGTCATGGTTAGAAGCTGGCCTGGGCAGTCAAGTCTGTGACTCTTATCTCCAATTAAATCACAGAAAAAGCAAGAAGTGGCCGTGGCTCAAGTGGTAGCCTGCTAGCTTGAGCAAAAGGAGCCAGGTACAGGGCCCATGCCCAGACTGCATGCGAGGAGAGGAGAAGGAAAGGAGAGAGGAGAGGGAGAGGAGAGGAGAGGAAGAGAATATGAATGAGGTGACAATATTACAAAGAAGGGAATGCACAGTTTAAACAACATAGAATTAAAAGAGTCTAGTGGCAAAGAGATTACAAGTAAACTACTGGAGTAAGACGTTTCATTCTTACTCGTACAGTCTCTTACTCTTGTAGTCATAGTAAATGGTACAAAGTCCCACTAAATATGTATTTGCTGAATAAGTTGGTCAGGTTCAACCTTGATTGTAGGGTTGATGGAGCTTTTAAATGTCAAGGATTAAATAAAAAAAAATCTCGAGTTTGGAGAATGTAGGGGATTTCTATGTGTAGCCAACCTTGGAACAACTGGAATAAATAAACCTATACACTGGACTAAATAAATATAGTAGATGGGCCTTTATCTTCACCATTTCCTTTGGGGTAAAGCTTGATGCTTAGTTTGCACACGCATCCTAGTACTGTGATAGTAGGGACGCGAGATTTTTTCCTTGTGTAACTATTAAAGTACTCCAATGTAAAGCAACAAAAAGCTAAGGGGGAACACATGCAATAATTCACAGATACTAGTATTGGTGATGAACAATAAAGAATAGCTAAGGATACATTAGTTGTGTGTCTTATGAGTCACAGAATTTGCGTTTCTAAGCCCAGGGTCTCTGGCAATTCATTGCACGTCCACCGCGTGATCAGAGAGGCTCAGAGACCACGACCCGCGCCTCGAGCGCCCGCCTGGCTACGCTTATTGAATGCTTTTGGATTTCTAAAGGACGAAACAGCGTTTCCCGCCGGCTTTTTACCCGAGGTCTGCCACTCAAGACCGAGTGGCAGCCAGTCCCGCCTGCGACTGTGGGCGCGGGCGCAGCTCCGGACGCCTCCGCTCTCCTCTCGGCCTCGTTCAAACACAACTCCAAGCTTGGGATTTAAGTTCAATTCTCGCTTCGGAGATACTCGCCGCCACGTCCCGGAGCCCACGTGGCCCTCGCGGGAGGAAACCCCGCCTGCTCCGGGAAGCGCGGAAAGCGCGGGCCGCGCGGCCGTCGCTTCCTCCAAGCATCCGGGTCTTCCGCGGCCGCAGGCTCAGGCTCCCACGGCGCCTCCGGAGAGCGCTCCGGGACTGACTACGTCCAGCAGGCCCCCCACGGGTCGACGAGGCAGGTGGCGCCTAGATTTTGCGTCATCACCCTAAGGCGGGACGGCTCGTGACGTCATCAACCCAGCCCCTGCCAATATGGAAGGGAGTGACTGCGGCGTCGCTGTGGCTGGCCTTGGGGCTCAGGCTTGTGGAGCAGCTGCAGCGACAGTGAGGGAGCTTCTGCAGGACGGTAAGGAATCGGCGTCCGTACAAGTGGTGAGGTGAAGGGCTGCTGCGATTCGTGCCTGAGCCCAGGCGGCTTCCTCAACCTGTGCTGGACAGAAAGTTTTCCGGTCTCAACGTGACCACTCCCCTCTGCCCGGCCCCCTGGCGTCCGGGTGCTGCCTGGCTGTGACCTGCCCCCCACTTCCCTTCCTGAGCCTTGGGGACACTTGGTTTTCTGGTGACTCCAGTTTCAGCTAGGTCCTCCCGTGTTTCTGAAGCTCTAGGACCCGCCATCCAGGGCTCCAGCCTTGGCAGTCACCACCCTCTCTCTGCCACAATCGTTGAGTAAAAGGTTGAAGAGTTCGAATCACACATAACCAGTAGACGCTTAATAAAAGAGAAGATCGTTAAATTACGGTGGGAAACACTTCCGTTAAATTATTGGGTTATAGGTGCCCCTTGTAGGCTTGTATGTCTTTGTGTGTGTGTGTGTGTGTGTGTGTGTATGTGTGTATACTATATATATGTATATAGAAGTAGTTATCCACAGTTACACTTGAAAGTGTTGAGAGTTTTCACTCAAGTTGGAAATAACCATTTTTTTTTGGAATATAGGAATCAGATTTACTAGTAGTAGTTTGGGAGAGAAATTGTCCCAAATAAGTTAGATATAGTACGCTTGAAAAGTACAATTATATCAATGCTGTTAATTTACTTTCAGAATAAAGTTCATGGTTCAATGGGTAAACACGAGGCCCTTCTCACTTGTTCTAAATTTTTTTCCCTAATGGACATCTCATTCTACTTTGTATTGAAATCATTTGTATACTTTCTTTCCTTGCCTCCACTGTATTGTAACCCCCCCTTTTTAGGTTTCACAGCATTCTTAGCAGTATCTTGCACATAGCAGGTTCAGAATGCTTATAAGATTGAACATCCTTGTAAGAAGCAAATGCACATATGTAGACCAATGATTGAAATTAAGTTCTAAATTAGTGTTTTCTCTGACTATTAAATATTTTACAAGTGCCGTAATAGACTTTTTGGGGGTAACTTATAGGCTTTGGTCAAAACATGTTGTTTTCTGAACTAGACTGCGTTAGATCCGTTAGAGCCTTTGTTGAATACATTTTTGTATCGTAATTGAAATTCAGTTTAACCAAGTTTTAAACTCTGAAGTTTCTGTTTTCAAATAGCTCACTATGAGTATGGGAAATTATTTTGTTAAGCTGTTAAGTTAGATTTGATAGTGTTGTAGGAGTAGTACTCAGTTTGTATGTACAAAGAAGAGCATGAAAATAGGATGAAAACTAGTGGTTAGAAATTGGTTAAGGAGTGCCTGGAAAGCCTTACTAGATGAAGTTAGTTTTGAAGTATAACTAGAACTTCACCCAGGTGAACAAGTAGAAGGAGCAACAAATTGCAAATGTTTATGTGTTTCGGTGAGCTGTATTCCAGGAGTTTTTCCTGTTTTGAGAGAGTAAATAATCATTAAACATGTTTTCTATATTTTCCTGTTTAATTCTCTTTGCAGTTTTTCACAGTAGTATTTATATCTTCTTTCTTCAAGTCTCTGTTTAAGTTAAAAAACTGACTCAACTTCATTATAAAATAGACTACCTTAGATGTGAACTTCCTCCTGTTTTTGCCATCAAACCTTCACATTTGACCTGAACCTAAATCATTCTTTCTCCCCCAACCCCCTTTAGGTCAAATACCTTGTATTTGAAACACTTTCTTCCTCTTCCCAAGGACAATTCCTCCTGTGGAGCTCTAGATTTTCTCCCTGTCTCCTTAGGGACCCAATCACTCATATTTTGTACCATTCAAATGTTTCAAATGATTTCTGGGAAAATAAAGGGACACTTTTGGTCCCCATTTGAACTTGTAAGGAGTGTGCCTTTTTTCTTGAAATACTTCCCTCATGGTGTATGGATTTTATATTTTAAAACCTTTATTCTCCAGGTGATCTTTTCTGGTTGTCTGTATGTATTTATCGCTGGTTAATTCAGTGGTCCTTGACTACCATTGTAACATATCCCAGGGATTAGATATTAAGTATTTCCATCAGTAGGCATGATTCATCATTTCAGGGATTTGATAGTGACAGAATAGATTGATAGGATAGAATTGGTGGGTAGATGCATACTTTGAAAACGTTGAAGATGTTTCCAATGTGCCTCCTATGGGAATAAGAAAATCATAAAAGAAAAGCATTATCTAAGTTATTTTGGGAATGCCTTGCCTCAGAAACTGATGTTCAGCCTTCATTGTGCCTCATTTTAGGTCTTCTGGATTGCTGCTGACCAGTGTTGCTCCCCATTTTTCCCCTCTGACATTTTGGTTGCTTAATTTATTTCCTTTATTCACTCCTCAATTTTTGGTGTTTTTTTGGGATTCTAAACCTTATTTCTAACTCATTTCCCTTCTTTCTCATTTCCTTGTTTTTCTTTTTTCTTTTCTCTGTGTGCCTGTGTGCATTCTAAAATTTCTTCCCAAGTTTTCTAATATTTTTTATTGGTAGTTTCAAAGGATCATTACTTCTCTTCTGAATTATACAACTATTTTAAACTGTCTGCTGTAATTTCTATCATGTCAACAACCAGTACTAGTTCAACATATGACAATTTACATGTGAATATTGAAACTTCTACATAGGAAAACATGAAGTAAAGTGTTCATGCCTTTAGTCTTTTTTCTCTTTTAATATCTTGTTACCACTTATAGGGAATTTGTTAAATATGTGATTGTTCCTTGTTTAAATTATGAATTCCTTTGAGGCAGGGATTTGTTTTTATGGTTAGTGCAAAACTGAATACCCTGTATCAATTACTTGTAAAACCTGGAAGTCAACCTTGATTTGGGCTACCTCATCATCTATTTTTCAGCTTTTCTCTAATTCCTTCACAATATCCTGTCTGAATATTTGCCAAATTTGTCATGTCCTTGATAGTTTTTTTTTGTGACACTGTCTTATTTAGTGGGTAGTTAATATGGTCCTGTTCTTTACTGACTATACTCCATGGTCTAATGGTAAAGCTGCTTTCTGGAAAAAAAAAGAAAAGAAAAAGTTATAATTTTCTAGTATGTTCCTGCTTCCCTGGTGTAGATATTCACTGTGGTTGATTTTAAGATGCCTCCATAAGATGACACCTGGCTCACAGTATTTTGAAAATGTAGAGTTGCAAAAAGCAACTGGAGCCACCTTCAGAGCAGCTTTATGCAATGAATTGTTTTTTAGTAATCTTGCACACTACTGCCAAAATTACTGTTCTCAAATGAAAAGCTGACAGTGCTCTTCCTTGGCTTTAAACCTTGAATGGAGCTAGGGTGTGTGTGTGTGTGTGTCTGTGTGTGTGTCTGTGTGTGTGTGTGTGTGTGTGTGTGTACATGCAACATGCTTTGATCCTACTTAGAATCTTCCTTTTCTTTTTTACCCTCTCTGTCATTATTACCATTGTACTCATTTTAGGACTAGATTCCATATATTAGAAAAATTCCGTGTCTTTTGGCCTTTTGTGCTTGGCAGTATGATGGTCTATAATGCTGTCCATTTTCTCGCACATGACATGATTTTGTTCTTTTTAAGATTGAATAATGCTCAATTGTGTATATGTACCACATTTCTGTTATCTATTTATCAGTTGTTGCCCACCTAGGCTACTTCCAAAGCTTGGTTATTGTTAGTAGTGCTTCATTAAACATGCCTGCAGGTGCCTCTCTCATATGTTGTTTTATACTCATTTATTTATTTGCCAAAGAGTGGTATAGTAGAGTCATGTAGTATGTCTATTTTTAGTTTTTGGAATCAAGTCCATATTGATTTCAGGGTTGGACTAATTTACCATGGTTTGAATGATGCTACTAGTGCTCCTATTCTGACTTATTTTGAGATAGGGTCTTGCTTTTGGTCTGAGCCAAAAGTAAAAATATTCACAAAAAAGTAAAAAAGACGAAGAGCCAAAGAAGAGGGAAAAAGAAAAAAACTTAGCATTGCTGTTTGCTCTCGGATGTACTTTTCTTTTGTCTTTTTTAATGGTCTAAAGGAGTTATTCCTGCCAGGGGACACTGGGTTAGAGTCAGCTCAGGGGAATGCTGGCTGCTCTGAGACCTCAACTGGCTCCCTAGAATAGGAAGGTAGACTTAGTGTTCTGAGTATAGTTGAGGCTTTCAACCACACAGTCCCCAGCCACTCACTATTTAATGTGTGGCATGCCACAAGTCCCAGGTCCCTCCAACTCTCTTGTTCGCTATGGGGGCCCTTCAGTTCTGGGGTCATAATTGCTGTGCTCTCCTCTGGATAGGCTGGCATTCTTTATGGTCATGCCACTTAGGGCCTCACAACAAGATTTCCTATATGAAATGGTGACTGATAGCAGCATTTTGCTGGTCCTCAAGACTGCACTTTGTCGCCTATGTGTTTTATTTTTTATTTTATTTTATTTTTTTTTTGGGTCCGGTCATGGGGCCTGAACTCTGGGCCTGGGCGCTGTCCCTCAGCTCTTCAGCTCAAGGCTAGAGCTCTACCACTTGAGCCACAGCGCCACTTCCGGCTTTTTTCTTATGTGGTGCTGAGGAATCGAACCCATTGCCTTGAGCATGCAAGGCAAGTACTCTACCACTGAGCCACCTTCCCAGCCCCCACCTATGTGTTTTATGTCATGTAGTTAGTGTTGCTTTCTCAGTTTCTATCTTGGCCCAGCCTTGCTAGAC